TTTAAACACAATATACCGCCAAATTTTTTTGAAATGTGTTCGAGCCTCACACATGACTAAGAATGCAAATAAATACAATGCACGAGACAAATTTACCAGTGAGCTTCGTGACGGATAACCAATCGCTAAAACTCCGCGTCACTTATACTTTTGAAGTTGCAAAGTTAAAATTTATTAACACGAAACAACTCCAATGCACTCACTCATCGATCACTGGATTCAATCACCATAAACAGTGGGAGTTCTCAACCATAAAAACTTATATTCATCCAGCAAACATTTCAGTTGATTCTCTAACAAAAAAATTATTACGGTCAAAGAGGGACAACTTCTTAAGCAAACTTAAAATTCACATCAAAAAAATATTACTACACACACTGTTTAATATTACGTAAGTTTACAAACCTCAATCATACTTTGTATGTCTTCCTTTGTCCTTTGTATGACTTACTATATATAAAATTCTATTGTTTGTTATTCGAAAAAAGAGATTTATAATTATTTCTCATGTTGTTCTGATTCTATGTGTGAATATTGAAATGTTGATGTTAGTGGAAATTGTTAATTTATCATGCAGCCTATTTCTCAACAATTATTACCCATATGATTAACACATCCACTAGAAGAGTATTTATAGAAAAAATTCAAAGGGAACCTACATTATGGCAGTGGGTAAAGAAATAGAAGCCGAGATGCCAGGTCCGAATAAAATAATATTGCATGTTCTTCTTTGGATTTCATCAACAATCTTTAAATATATAGCAAGAGCACAAGACTAGATGTAGTAGTCATATTCAAAGCAAGTATGAATGGTAGACTTATAAATATGTAAGACAGATTTTAGCAAAGATTCTCTAGCACGACGTAGCGAAATAACTTTCTTAGCTTTAAACTTAGCAATTGATACAATATTCAGTTTCCACTTCAGGCTAGCTGAATATGTTAGTCCGAGAATGCGTAATATGGATTAATAATTTATAATTTTGATATATTTCGACAGGAAAACAACGTCACAAAAAAAAAACACTTTTTAATCATTTCATCCTAAGCAAGCCACTAAGATGCAAGTGGTTACTGGAAGTGGAAGAGAATGAAAAATAATTTAGAAAGAACGGGGTACAAGTAGGATTGCATTTAAATTTTTGAAGATTCTAAATGGCAAGGTTTTGTGATGTCAGAGCTCTTCCCATTGTCACATTTGTGACGTCAACGAATGCATGTTATCACGTTCGTAATTCTTGTTGTAGTTGAGACTTTGGAATCGCAGATATTATTAGTAACTCCTTCAAACAATACTCGCACTAGTAATACTTGTTCAAATAGTAATCCTCGAATAGTTATCCGAAGAGTGATCAGTATAGAGAAATAGTGTAGATGATAGTATAGAGAATCACGATCACGTAGACGCCACGCTAATTCCCATATACACCTTGCCTTTACAATCACGTGGTCTACTTAATAGAAATGGAATTACCTGTGTTTGCTCACTAGTGATGTATGTTCAAACTCCAGTGTCGGCAACGACACTTTATCCCCATAAAACACAAGGAATCAAGAAACCGGACAGGCGAAAAGTGCGAGAAAAGAAAATATTAAAGTAAAATTTACGGTTACATCGAGCTATTTCAACAGTAAAACGATCAGACATATTTTCCAATCTAGTTGTACTCTTAAATTCATATTCTCAAGGTACCAAGAGGGAAAGGTCATGAGAACACCTGCCATTAAATTATTTATAGAAAAGACTTGAAACCACGTTACGGCGATAGGAAAGGGACTGATGTCGATTTGCCAGATAAGGACCGTTAACATTACAGACCCTTCTTTAGATTTTATTAATTTAAATACACACACAAAGGGTGATAAATGTTGGAATTTTGAGCCGAACCCTTTATTTCGTCCACTGGAGTAGATTGTTCTAGTTCCACATGCCACACCCTTTTTCGTGTATGTCAGTTTCAGTTGTTTCCCTTTAGTAACTCAACTCTCCAAGTTTTTTTGGTTCACTTCTGCCGTGGCCAGGCATTGAACTCACAACACTTATATATCTCCTGAAGAAGGCCGGAACGTACAAGAAAGATGAGTAATACAGTCCGAAAAGTAAAAATAGTTACAATATCTCACCATAAAAATATAGACTTATACATAAAGGGATTCAAAATTTTCTAAGTCCACCCAACATCCCAGGATAGTGATTTTCCAAGCGTAGCTTGGATGTGGCACAAGGCTGAAAGTAAGGGGCACCCAGTGAGGATTGAACTCACTACTCAGTCGTAATTGTTCTAGCGAGACAAGCCGAGGTGCCCCCAACATCCCAGGATATACTGGGTGCGATGGGTAAATTTTCGCCATTTTATATTTTTACTTTTGCATATGCGCGTTGTTTGTTTTTGATGTAGTCGACTGAACAGTATAGAGTAGGGTCAGTTGGCCCCTGTCTGGGGTGGGGAGCACCATAACGCAATTCACTCCGCCAGGAATTTGGAAGCGGCATGCTTTACTGCTTGGCTTTCGCGTCAGAAGCTCCAATACGAACATTTCAGAATGTTTGGGCGTCAATCTGAGGACAGTTCAGGGGATTCGGAAAGAGTTGGATGGATCTAATGTTGACTACGCCAGTACGGCATCTCGGAAGACTCACTCTGATCGTTCTGATACGAAAAGATCACCCGGATTTGTTGTTGAGGGTCTCACAGAGGCCTATATCAAGTGCCTTGAGGAGGTAATGCTGCCCTGAGTCAAGATGGTAGAAGACCATATGTCTGGCAACCTGACCCTGCACCGTGTCAGACAAACAGGAGACTCATTCATGTCTGTCAGACAATTTCTGCGATCACATCCCCCCTTACATCTGCCCACCTAACTCCTCAGACTGCAACACCCTTGATTATTATGTATGAGGTGCAGTTGAGAGAGAGAGAGAGAGAGTAACACCAAAGATTCCTAGCAGAATCAGTGTGAGGGAAGAAATCGAACAGGACACGTCGGAGCAACAAGAAATTAGCCAGCTTAAAGATAAGTTTTATTGAACGACGTTTCGCAAATACTTTTTTAAGCATTTCACCCCAACAAGGAAAGAGTGCTAATAGCAAGATCCAGGCATCAGAAGATGACATTACACTTGAATATTTGAAGATTATAGTTATCAGGGAAGCAAGTAAGAGGAAGGGAGTTGCACAGACGGGAAGTGCGAGAAAAGAAGCTGTTTGAGTAGAAGAGACTGTTACATTTAACCGTTTCGACAATGGAAGGGTGGGACTGAGATGCCAACCAAGTAGCTCGCTTGAATTCATGCAGCCTGGGAACCAGCGAAAGTAGCTCGTCGGAACAGTTGCCGTGAAAATACTTGTAGAAAAGACAGAGAGACGCCACAGCGCGTCTGTGAGAGAGTGACTGTAGACAAGATGCCAAATCGGGACCTATCACATTGCATATCCGTCACTGGATTTTGTCGAGGACCTCGAGAAGTACTGCGTGGGACCAGACTACTATGGTAGATGTTCAATTCATAAGAGTGCCTCATCGCTAAAAGCTGCGAAGATGACATTCAAGCCTACAATGTCTGCAAGAAGAATTTCAGAAACATTACTAAGTCTTGTTTCGACAGAATCTAAATTTTCAGTCTATTTCGAGGAAGGTATCTTGGGAAAAAAACGACACGAATTGTTCAGGAAACCTTAGTTCAGGATGTACTCACTCATGCAGAACGATTTGTAAAAACTATGTATAATTTTAAAAATATCACTTCAGCCGCTTAAGACAGAGGGAGGTCCTTTCGAAACTTTTTTTTATACTTTTTTAGTTAATAAATAATTTGTACTAATAGTAAATAAAATTTTTCAACGTTATGGATGAGTACGTCATACATTTCATTACTATGGTTTAATTAGTAAGATTTATTTTTATGTAAAAAAAATAATAAAATTGCGTATAAAATATTTACATTTCGGCCTTAAATAACCTATAGAGGTTGACATGCCGCTAAACAAAAACAACCAACCAACCTTATCCAACATGGTCTCCCCAACTTCCTCTCCTACACATTCACAATAATTTTCATTAATAGTAAATAAAATTTTCAACTTTATACGCAGAGTACATTATACATTTCATTACGTTACGTCAAAATGTCATCAATTTACAGTTGATTTGGCTAGATGGAGCCGTAAATTCTATGCTGACAGTTTCTTTCTCGCACCTCTCACTTGTGGAACTTTTTCTGGTTCCATGCTTTCCAACCATCTTTAATATGCAAAAATTTAAATGCAATGTCAACCGCTATTTACTGTCCTCCTGGTTACACTTTCTTCTTCTCGTTCATTATAAATGTTTCTCTTTCTAATTCTTTCACACCCCGTAACCTCTTGTGTCTTAGTAGCTTTACTGCTTTGCATGGGGTGATACCGATTTTAAAAAAATGTTTCTTTTGAATAAACTCTTTAAACATTAATGCTTAGAATATTGCTGCCGAATATGGTCTGGTGTCCCTGCTATCTACCTTGAGCTCCTTGATAAAATCCAAAGAATAATCAGCAATATTAATCCTAACCTGGCGTCTCTGTTTCAGTAACTTTCCCACTGCCGTAAGGTTGCTTCACTGTGACCTTTCTATAAAGACTTTCATGGTATTTGTTTGTATGAGCTTTCGTTTTGTCGCCTAGACTCTTGGAATTTAAGCACAGTACTAGACCGGCATGGAGATCCCATCAATTTACAGTTGAGTTTGCTTGATGTAGCCGTAAGTTTTATGCTGACAGATTTTTTTTTCTTGCATTTCTCGCTTTTGGAACTCCCTTCCGGCTCCATGTTTTCCAGCCAACTTTAATCTGCAAAGATATATATGTAATATCAATCGCTATCTACCGTTTTCCTGATTAGTCTTTTCTCTTCCAGCCCATTATTAATGTCTCTGTTCCTAAATCTTCCACGCCGTGTAGCGTCTTGTGGTTTTACTGACTTGCATGGGGCGAAACAGCTTTAAAAAAAATGTTATTCTTGGCTTACGGCCGCATCACCTTGAAACACCGATTCTCATGCGATCACCGAAGTTAAGCAACGTCAAGCATGATCAGTACACAGATGGGTGGCGACTTGGGGATACCAGTCGCCGTAGGCGTGGATGTGCGGTGGTGTAATGGATAATGACTCGGAATTCTTAAACGGAGAGGCGGGTTCTAATAAGGTTCGTTATCTTCATTTAGACGTAAATACACTTGGTAAATGTATGAATCCACCTCTTCTCCCTCTCGCTATGGGTTAATTAGTAATGCATCTATCACGAAATTATTATTATCTAAACAAATATTCTTCCAATCTAAAAATATTTTCTGGCTTTTAATAAAGGGGTTGATAAGCCGTAAAAATGTATCAGTCAGTATTATCGATACATTCTGCAAACAGGGTCTTTTGCATTTATATATTGCGCAAATATTTTGTAATTTTAAATACCGTTTACATCAGTATCTGTCTATATTTCTGAAATGAGGTATTATTTACATTATTCGGACTATTGTCCTCATCTTTGTCGCCATATTTATTATTACGTTTAGGCCGTTGTACACGCCGGCCTTCTTCATGTGGTTGGAATGTCGAACTGAACCCTTTATTTCGCTCACTTGGGTAAACTTTTCCAGTTCCACGTGCCATATTTAATGGATGTCAGTTATCAGTTATCTCCTGTTAATTCCCCTCTCTAAGTTCTCCACTGCCTTAACTCACACTCATTTGGTCTTGTCACTGGGTCTAACTAACGCCGTTATCCTTGGGGACATCTTTTCTATGAATTTCTGGGTATTATAAACCTAATGTCTTCAGCAAACATTTTTACCAGTGCCCATATTGCAATTGTTGCTGTTATCATTGCATTTTTTTTTTACCAGAACTCATATTGCAATTTTTGTTGTTATTAACGCTTTTCTCTGGCACTCCTTATTACTGGTTCCCATATTGTATTCATTTCTATTCTTTGTCGGCTCAGGAACATGATACGTGGAAATAGAACAGTCTGCTCCAGTGAATGAAATAAAGGGTTCAGTTCGACATTCCAACCACCTGAAGAAGTCCCGAGTGTACAACAGCCGAAACGTTGTAATAATAAATATGGCGACAAAGATGAGGACAATAGTCCGAATAATGTAAACAGTGTACCGTTTACATCGTTAGAAATTTTACTTAAGGACATATTTAGAAAAAAAAAAAAGAAAAAAAAAGCGGTTTAAATTAAAAAGACCGAACAATTTCAGATGTTTACATTTTATTTAAAAAATAGCAAGCTCAATAACACCTGAAATGTGTTAACATTTCATACGGAACGATCGTGTAAGATTGCAAATTTGGATTGATAAGAATTACTAATCTGTTAGAAAATATAAATTGAACTTATCGCTAGATTTGTTAACAAAGACATTCCTTAATATTTTATTTTCCTCTTCAATTTCACATAACAATTGTTGTAATTATTTTGTTTATACTTCATACATGATGGATGACGGTTAATCTTGTGTGACTGCATTTATCGCATTAGCATGTAAATTAAAACCACAGTTGCGCTAATATTTTACATTGTCACAGTAATTTTGAACCACATGAGCACGTACGTCATAAAATTGCCTTTATTTGGTTAAAACTTGTAAAATAAATTAAGATATGCAAATTGAATTATTATGCTACAAAATTAAAAATAATTATGAATTATTATGTTACAGAGTAAATCCAATTTAATAAATTAAAATAAACATCAGTTAAATATGTACAAATATATATAATTTGAGCTAGCTGCAATGACTCTTGAGATCTGCGAGGAATTTAAATTCAAATTTAAAGACGACACAAAATTCCTGATTTAGCTGAATGTTGGACTGTACGGTGGAGTAATGGATAGCGGACAAGGAATCGGAGAGCAGAGTTCGAATTCCAGTCAAATTCATTACATTCACTTACGTGCTAATAACCTTGAGAAAGGTATGAATCCTCTTTTTAGCTATGAATAAATAGCAGGACAGACCAGGTTCTATAGACTTCGATGGCAGCTAGTCTACCGCAGAAAGAAATGGCAACCTCCTGCGGGAAAAAATCTGCCTCGTCAGTCATGTATCGAAAGATATATAATCGCCTAAGTGTGTATCACGCATGGCATATAACTGACTGATATTGATAGTACACGGACATTTGGCTGACGGACATTTGGACGAATAGACACTTAGCTGAAAATGTAGTGTTAGTACTTACATGTGTCTGTCACCCTCTTTATCGTAATGTGCTACGTATATATATATATATATATATATATTTATTTGCTGTATTATAAATTTTCGATTTTTTACAGGCATTTTTTAAAAAAAATCTATTCTGTATGTATTATATATTACTTCAAATATTACTGTAAGATAATAAGTATTTTCAGAAAAAGCACATTTTACTACAGCAAAAATCTTAAGCTTTTGCTATATGAAAGGTCTTTCAATTTTGCTTGTAATGATCATTATCTTAAAGGAATGAAGT